CGACTGAGACCGTTCGCACACCAGTGACTGTCCCTTTATCACCCCTTCCTGTCCCCCTCCTGTGCATGTCCAACCCATGCTACAGTCGTTCAGGGGACCCTCCTTTTTTAATGTTGTGAGGTGTGGGGGTTGTAGGGTTGGTTCTGTACTCACCTGGTGAGGCTCCTGGCTGTGCTTGCAGGATTTGAGCTCTGGCTCTTGGGTCCCGCCTATCTGGTAGAACTTGCGGGATAGTACCAGTGGAGTGCAGTGGTGCTATTGGCACTTTTGGGGAACACTGTATTACCATCAGTGGTCTGTGCTTGTTACACGACCTACTTGCGAGCATAAGCCTTCTTGCTGGTTCGTCCGTGGACTTCCAGGGCGCACTGGCCTGTTTTCGTATGGCAGTTCCGGCCCGTCCTGGTTGTGGGGGTATGTGGGCCGGTGGACTGCTCCTAGCAGCTGCCTGGTGGGCCATCCTCTGGCCGGTCTGGCCTGACCTTGGGCCGGGCTTGAGGTGTAAAAGAGCTCCCAGTACCTCATCCAGCAGGTATCGAGCGGGGTTTCTCCGCCGTCGGTCGCCTGGTGCAGGTTTCTGGGCCTGCAGGGTTTTGTCGTGTCTCCGTTGGCCCTGTCTGGGGTCTGCCTGCTCCGTTCTCTGCCTTTGCAGAGGGGAGTTGCTATTTACATGTTGCATGTTGCAGTGGTGCCTGTTGCTGCTGCTGCTGCACGTGAGCATTGGTACCGTGTTTCACGGTGGCGTGTCCTTGTTCCTGTGTCCGGTTGTGGAGTGGCGCTTTGCTGCCGTTTTGTGCCTGGGGATTGCGTGGGGTTTTTGTCCCTGCCTGATTGTCCACCCCTGGTTGTTCTCCTGGTTTTTTTTTTTGTGCTTCTGCTCTTTCTTCCTGCCTCTTCTGCAGCAGGAATGTTCTGCGTGTGTTCTTAGGCGTTGGTCAGCCTGTGTCCTGTGATGTGCTTCTTTGTTTCGGTCTGTTGCAGTTGTTCGGGCCCCTTGGTTCGGGTCCTGTTCTGGCGGCGACCCTTCCGCCTTCTTTGGTTTTCCTAGCTTGCCCTGCCGGTTGTTGTTGTTGTTTTATTTTTTTTGGGGGGGTTCTTGCGATGTCTCGCGTCGGACCCGTCGTTTCTGAACTCCTGGCGGGCTTGCATGCTTCGGAGTTTTTCTGTTCGGCAGACGTTCCATCTCCTTGTGCCGCCTGGGTTTCGGTGGTCGCGCCCGAGATCTTCTCGCGGCTCCGCCTTTTTCCTGGGCTCGGGGGGGCCTTGTCGGGGCTGCTTATGTTCTGCCTCGTGGTCTCGCCTCCGGTTGGTGGTCGGGTGGCTTCGTGGTAGGTGTCCCACCTGCGTGCTTCTTGGCGGCAGTATGGGGTATTTTGGCGGTCCTTCCTTTTCCTGTCCCTTCTTCGGTGGGTCCTTCTTGTTGGCTTGGTTTACTCTCGGCTTGGTTTTCTAGTGGGGGTTGGGGGCCGTCGTCTTGCCACATACTGTCGCCTCTTTTCGTGCGGCGCAGGCGGAGCCGCTTCAGCTTGCTTTCGGTCTTGGTGTTGCTTCTGCACCGTTAGTCAGCTGTCTTGTGCGTCATTTCACCTCCGGCCTGTTCGTGCGCCGCTTGCACCATCCTGGTCTCTGGTCAGCGTGCTCTGTCTTCTCCTCGGTTGGTAGTGCCCCTTCGGTTCCGGTGTGTTTTTTCGTCGGCTCTTTCCTTTGGGCCTTTGCCTCTGGGGTTCGGTTCGCTGTGTTTTCTTGCTCCTTCGGTTTTAGCGTTTTGGTTGTTTGATGGCAGCAGTCTCCATCTTTTCTGGCGCGGGGTGGGGCTGCTGCATTCTGGAGGGGTCCAGGGTTTGTTGGTGCTTCGTTGGTCGGGCCGGGGGTGTGTCGTTTTTGTGTTCAGTGGCGGCCCTCTGCTGTTGTTTGCGTGCCACGGCGTTTGGGTCCGGAGCGCGTTTTGCGTTGATCCGGTTCTGTTCTTCCCGGTTCGCGGGTGATGGTGTCCCGGGTGGTCAGCCGTGTTCTTGTGGCTAAGCTGCCTGTGTTCTTCCCTTATGCCTGTGGCGTTCGTGGCTTCGCTGCTCTCGCTGCCGTCTGGGCGACGTGGCCTTGCAGTCTTTCGGGCATGGATTTTTGGTGTTCGTGCAGGGGCCTTGCTGCTCGTGGTTCTCGTGTTGTTCCCGGGATTTTCGGGGCTGTGGCGCCTTGGTTGTATAAAAGGTCGGAATTTGAAAATGAAAATAGGTGCAGAGAGTCAGAATTCGGCTCAAAAATCACGCTCAGGTGTCAAATTTCTGACATTTCAGATATTTTGAAAACTACAGGGGGGTTTGGTGAAAATATGACCAAATCGCCATTTTCAGTAATTAGCATATTTTCGGTGTAAAAGTTCGTAATTTGAAAATGAAAATAGATGCAGAGAGTCAGAATTCGGCTCAAAAATCATGCTCAGGAGTCAAATTTCTGATATTTCAGATATTTTGAAAACTGTAGGGGGGATTGGGCAAAATATGACCCATCGCCGTAATATGACTCAAGGCCCTGCCCGTGTCCATGTATAGCCAGGCCCGGCCCGAGTCCAGGCTCAGCCAGGCCGGAGTCCAGGCCTAGTGAGACCCGGTCCGTGTCCAGGTATAGCCAGGCCCAGACAGGCCCGATTCCAGGCCCAGCCAGGCCAGAGTCCAGGCTTAGCGAGACCCAGTCCGTTTCCAGGTATCGAAATGGAACTTTCATAGATGACAACATAGATATGAGCAAAATATTGAGGAATCAGTATGACTCTGTTTTCAGTGAGCCACTAAACACACCAGTATTTAGTCCAGTATTCCTGTACTCCTCATTCTCATTGGACATAAACAAGGACACAGACTACAGTATAGTACCGTATTATCCTTTGCAGATGACACTGGGAGTTTTATGAGAGTAGACAACATTGAAGGCACAATAAACCTCCAAACTGATGTATATCCGGTCTTTCAATGGCCACAAAAAATAATACGGTATTAAATGAATGGAAGTTCCAGCTCCTGCGCTATGGAAACAACGAAAATATAAAAAGCGTAAACCACGTACAAACTGCAGTCAAATCATACCATAGAATGTAAAAGTAATGTAAAGTATTTGGGTGTGTGATCATGTCAGAAGACTTTGCCTTTAAAGAACACAATAAAGTAGCCATCACACAACTGCAAGAAATTGACAGGTTGGATAACAAGAACTTTTCAGATGAGATGCTGTACCAATGATGATACTTTTCAAGACGATAGTGTTGAAAAGTTGAAACAGTACTCCACTCTAGAGAGTGGAGTACTGTTGTACAGTAACAGCCCCTTTCAAAGCTGAGGAAAATGCTGACCTGGAGAGTGGGCAAAGATCCTTTACTGCTAGAAACCACTCAATAAACCATCCAAATTATTGGGACCGATTAAAATGCCAAGATCTTTATTCTCTTGAGCGTAGGCATGAGAGATACATAATAATTTACACATGGAAAATATTAAAGGGACTGGTCCAAAATCTGCACACACAAATAATGTCACCTGAGACCAGAAGGCATGGCTGGATGTGCAGAACACCCCAGTTCAAAAGCAAAGGTGCAATAGGGGCCATTGATCCCCAGAAGCTACACAAGGTAGACACAAAGTAGGTACTCAGAGAGAGAGAACTCTATCAACATTAGAGTCCCAAGACTGTTCAACATGCTTCCACTATACATAAGGGGTATAACTGGCTAACCCCCTCACAGTGTTCAAGAGAGAACTTGACAAACACCTTCAAAGGATACCTGATCAACCAGGATGTGATTCATATGTCAGGCTGTGAGCAGCCATGTCCAACAACCTGGTTGACCAGACCATCAACCAGAAGCCCTGGCCAGAGAACAGGATGTGGGTACCTTGACCCCCCGGAATCAATGCAAGGTAGCTGCAAGATAAGTGGGTATATATATATATCGTGTGTTGTGTCCGGTGGTGGCTCTTTGCCGCTACCTTCCTGCCACCGATTCAGCCTTGGTGGATGCCTTGTGGGTTGACCCAGTTTCCTCGGTTCCCTGTTTCAATTTTTGTGTTTTCCAGGTCATCAGTAGTATCGTCAAGTCAAGCCAACTTATGGTGTACCCTCATGCCCATGATGTTTGGAAAAACTGTATGCTGCTTTCTCAACAGATTTTGATAACGTGTCCTGATAACATGTCCTAAATTTATGCAGTAAAATATAAACATACCAGAGTGAACAATATGGAAGGAAATGCAGAATAGAGCTGGTGAGGAGTAGAGGAGCCAAAGGCACAATCAGAGAACACTGAACATCGGAGGTCCATGGTCCATTCCTTAACTGTAGCCTCTGTTTAACGCAACAGTAAAATGTGTACTTGGATGAAAAAACGATTCTTCGCGGCAGGGGATCGTATTCCAGGGACCATAGGATTAAGGACTTGCCCGAAACGCTACGCGTACTAGTGGCTGTACAAGAATGTAACAGCTCTTGTATATATCTCAAAAAAAAAAAAAAAAAAAAAAAAGGTGCTGGAACCACCAGGTTTTAGTGGATATGTGGGTCTGCAGGCTGCTCCAAGCAATAGCCTGTTGGATCAAGCTCTCACAGGGCAAGGCTTGCCTCAGGTCAGGCGTGAGGAGAACAACTCCCAGAACCCCATTCAGGTATAACCCAGGTTCTGACTCTTGGTAGACCAAACAGATTTCTATGGCTGATATGTCTTAGTACAGTAGTTGGGAGCCATCTTATTGAGATGGCTTCAGGGAGCCTCAAGGGTCTTCCCTAGAAACTTCATTACATTTAACACTGGTTTTATGATTAGCCTCTTGTGGGGCAATCTTTTAATTCAGTAACTGCATATTTACTTTATTTGGCAATTTTTGTTTTCTGTTTTATACAGTATGCTCAAAAGTTTCAGTGGGTATTCTACCTTGTCAAATTATGCTTAAGTCCCTATTAGTACTGTGTATACAATAAGTTTTAGAATTGTTATTAACATTTTGCTTGTTCCTCAGACGGACTTCAGTGGACGTGTGGTGAACAACGACCACTTTCTGTATTGGGGAGAGGCAGCAAGATTGGCTGATGATGGCCTTGAATTCAGCTTCCAGGTCATTGAACAAACAGAATTCATTGATGATGCTTCCTTCATGCCTTTCAAAGGTGAGAGCATCAGCTTTCCACTGCCACACTGCATTCCTAGCACAACTGGAATACAGTATAGGCAAAGTCTCACCAAATCCTTTGAGCAACATAGGGCATATTATGCTTCAGGCTGAGGATGCTACACTTGTAGAAATTAAATTCCTCAGTGTCTCTGTTGACTATCTTTTCTTTTTAATGACTTGACATTTTAATAGTGGTTCTTTACACAGTATATATATTGTAATAGGTTAAGTCTTACCAATGCCTAGCCATCTATTGCAAAAGTGCTGTAACAGTTAACAGAGTGAGAGTTGTTGAAAATGTTAGCCATGTTGAAGTATTGCTAATAGTTGATAGCATTATTGTAATGAAGATTCTGTATAAAAAATGGCAGATGGGTGAATTATAAGTGTGTCATAGGTGTTCAGCAGTATTGTGAATAACTGCAATATGAAACTTTATGACTACTATTAAATCAATGCTGGAGTAGTCCTTACTGCCTGGAGGGTGGCTAATGTAGTCTCATTACTGAAGAAGAGGGACAGATCATGTTAGATTAGCCTGATGTTGAATGTGGGAAAGTTCTATGAGGGAGTTCAGTAAGAAAACAGCTTGATAAACATGGCCTAAGAATGAATTCTCATCCTAGTTTCTTATGATTACATTTTGGTTACCTTTTGATGATTCCGAGGATCCACCTCCATGGGGCCCGGTCTCTAACCAGGCTGCCTGGTTGGTGGTCTGGTCAGCCAGACATTTTGATGCAGCCGCTTGCAGCGTGATGTATGAATCACAGCCTGGTTGATCACGTATCCTTTGAAGATGTTTTATCAAGTTCTCTTTCAAACACTATAAGAGGTCAGCCAGTTATGCCCCTTGTAAGTAGAGGGAGAATGTTGGAAATTCATAATCCTTTGATGTTAATATAGTTCTCTCTCAGCATACTTATTGCACCTCTGCTTTTCAGTGGGGCTATTTTGCACATCCTACAGTACCTTCTGGTGTTGTATGGTGTTATTTCTGTGTACAGATTTGGTACCCGTCCCTCTAATCTTTTCCGTGTAAATTGTCATGTATCTCTCCTGCCTGCAATCTTAAAAAACACAGATTTAATCATTTTAAGTGGTCCCAATAATTTAGAGGTTTTATTGAGTGGATTCTAGCAGTTAAAGATCTTTGCATGCTCTCCAGGTCAGCAATTTGTCTAGCTTTGAATGGGGCTGTGAGTGTACAACAGTATTCCACCTAGAGAGCACTAGTGTCCTAAGAAGTATCATTATTGGTCTGGCATCTCTTGTTTGAAAGGTTTATTTTATCCAACCTGTCATCTTTCTTGCAGTTATGACAGTACTTTATCAGGTTCTTTAAAAGTAAGGTCTTATGACATGATTACTCCAATAATCTTTTACATTGCTTATTCTTTCAATAATGTGATTTGACTGTTTTATATGTGGTTTCCATTTTTATGTTTTAGCTTTTTGCCTAGTGCAGGAGCTGGAACCTATCCTCATTAAACATCATGTTGTTTGCTGTAGTGTGTTCAAAGACCTGATTAACGTCAGATTGGAGGTTTGTTGCATCCTCTGTATTGTCTACTCTCATGAAAATCCTAGTGTCATCTGTAAAGGATGATTCAGTACTATAGTTTATATTCTTGTTTATATCTGATATGAGGGTAATCTTGTTTTGCAAATCTGCTGTCTTTCTTCTTTAGAGTATTAAAGGCAGTGAACATAATGAGAGGCTGAACAGGATGATTGAGACCCGACCAACCAGGCTGTATTTCATACGTCAGACTGCTATCAGTTGCATCTAACATCCTGGTTGACCAGACCACCAACCAGGAGTTCAAGTCTGAGACTGGGTCACATGGATGTTGATTTTTGGAACCAGTGTAAAGTAAGGTACCTTACCTTGTGGGTTACCTTGCGAGGCTTTCAGGGCTCAATGTCTCTGCAGGCTTGTCCTTTACCAGGCCTCCTCATTGCTGGGCTGGTCAACCAGGCTGTTGGACCAGTATCCGTAGTTTCCATATATCCATAGTTGGACCATATATCCGTAGTTGAACCATGTATCCATAGTTGAACCATGTATCCATAGTTTCGTATCATAGTAGTCCTTTGTGAGAGTTTAAGATAGAGCTGCAAACACTACACTTGCCTCATTTAGGAGGCCATTTGTAAAATGGTATTTGTTGTGTGTGATTTCATGCCCGGAATGTTGGTAAATACAAATGATGTTACCATGTTGTATATGTAGAAGTGCTGGGTATTTTACTTGCCATTAATATCTGTGGTTTTAATAGGTGTGCCACTGTGTTTGTGTCCTGTCTAGCATTTGACCAGGCATATTTTTTTAATTGTTTCCAAGTTGAAAGATTTTGATCTATTTTAGAATTATATCTTAATCCTTGTTAACCTAATCCAAGAAAAAAAGTTAACCAGGTCTAAAACTATTTCTTGTATTAGATAGCCTATAGGCCATATATTATTTCAACTAAGCTTCTGAAAATGGTGGTGTCCCACTTCGGGTCAATAGCTAGCAATTTACTCGTTAGTTAAAATGACACCTTATTGTGATGTTAATTGGACCACATCCCATTATTTCATACCAGGTATTACATAAACTTACAAATTGCATTCACATTGTACTATCAAATGTCTTTTCATTATAAATATCAGTGGTGGCATATTGCAAATAAAATATAATACTCCAAGTTTCATTGTGATCTTCACATTTTATGAACGGTGTTTGTGCGCTTCAGTTACGTTGTACTGGAACAGACATGTAGACATATTGTGTACCTATTGATAGTTCTGGGAATCATTACTTTTGTAGCATAATTTTAAAATATTCTTAATTGTTACTTTATATTTTGCTCCTAGCTGGAAAGATGGATCCATACATAAAACGCTGCTGTGCCACCAAGATCCAGTCAGCGGAGAAACTCATGTATATATGCAAGAACCAACTAGGTAATTGTCTTCAGATTGTTGGGTGATACTAATATTAGATTAAGTGAACACAGGAGGCCTTTGTGGGAGCTTGGAACATTTGTGAAGTTGAATTAATATTGCTGAATGCAGTGAATAGATTTTATGAAGGAAGAATAATGGGGTTTAATAGTGGTGTACAGTGTTTAGTAGGTTTCATGAAGATTATGTGATGTGCCAATGGTAGGTTTCATGAAGATTATGTGATGTGCCAATGGTAGGTTTCATGAAGATTATGTGATGTGCCAATGGTAGGTTTCATGAAGATTATGTGATGTGCCAATGGTAGGTTTCATGAAGATTATGTGATGTGCCAATGGTAGGTTTCATGAAGATTATGTGATGTGCCAATGGTAGGTCAGTATTCACATGTTTGGGGCCATAGAGGTCAAGGTCAGAATATTAGGAAGGCTGTGAGCAAGATGGTGAGCTTGCATGTTTGAGACTTGATGTTTAAAGATGAGACACTTTATCACAGAGATTGAAAAAGATAATCTAGCTACCAGAAAGAGATTTTAAGGTTTTGATGAGTTAAAAAATTATTAAACAAACTGAAGAATTAGTTAATTATTTTGAAGGGAGGTAGAGTGAGAGTGAGAATGAGAGAATTAACTATCTAAGAATTTATAATGTTAAGATGTAAATGGCATAATGAATGATATTACTATGGAATGATGTGGAGTGCATGTGGCTTACAAGATTGTAGGGAGTGGGATATTGTGATATTGAATAATCATGTAGAGTGAATTTTCACTTGAGAGTGGTGCCGTATTTGAGTCATCATGAAAGGAGAGAAGGGCGGAAAAGTACCTTTGTCTCAACACTAAAGATGGGTCACTTTACCATAGTGCTGTGCTGAACATTATATGATGAAGGGTATATTGATGTCTTAACACTTAATGTAATCAGGTTTACGTAGGGTAAAGGTTCATAGGCTGTTTGGTTCAGCGTATCAGACAACTTGTCATGCAGAGGTTAACTACTACAAGATACATTATATTTTTTTTCCTAAACAGGATAAATCTAAACTTGAGATATTTTGAAACATTATCAAATTACATTCATGTAATCAAATTACAATTTGATTTTCTTTTATCATTTTTATTCTCTCAAGTTTATTGTATGTATTCAACATATTATTTTGAAATGTGTATGAATGTTGTTGACTTTTATCAACAGGTATAGAAAAGGAATATGAGCAGCGTGTTTTGCCTGATGGGAAGCTTAATGTTGATGGGTTCCTGTGTGTGTTTGATGTCTCACAGGTTCCCAATCGCTCTTTAGAACGTCAGGTAGAACTCACCGCTAGTATCTTAAATAACTGCCTCAAAACTAAGCGGCCGGTTGTTCTTGTAACGACAAAGAATGATGAGGCTAATGAGGTAAGAGCCAAAAATGTGTAAAGCCTGTTGACAAACAATTTGCTGTATTAGTATGACGAATTTAAAAACAAATCATTTACTATGATTAACTGGAAACAATATGAAACACACAGCTTTTCAGATCATCATGCTAATATATTTGATTCATTGCATTATTAATTTTGTATTAATGACTATTAATATCTTCATGTCCGTAATTCTTAACATAATAGACCAAAAATTTTATTGTAAAATATTTTTCCTTGTAATTCAGGTATTGTAATTATAGTATTATATGCTGAATTTATTGTTGTAACGTATTATTCAATTTTGAATTAGTTCATATTAAAATGCGCTTAATCTGTGCCATTTATTTTCAGGTATATGTTAAGGAGGCTGAGAAGTTAGCGAGCAGAAAAGAGTTTAAGGGGAACATCCCTCTAGTGGAAACTTCCTCGCATGAAAATGTTAATATAGACTGTGCGTTTATGACATTAGCACATTTGATAGACCGTAATAGAGGAAGAATTCGTATTGTTCCATTTTATGAGGCAGCGAGACATAGAAAAGAAATTCTTGATGTAGCAACAGATGCCTTCCAAAGATTAGTGCGCACTCATGTTCTGGACTATCGGTCTATATGGGCCACAACTAGTAAAAAACTTGCTCAAAGTCCTGATTTTATACATTATGTGGACCTCTTTGGTATGGACCAAGCGGCCAAATTGTTCCGTCGTCATGTCAAGAAACTCAAAGATGAATACCTCCAAAGAAAAGTGGAGGCATACATGGACATGCTGCCCTCCATTCTGCGTGAGTTCTTCCCGGACCTGCAGAGCTTAGAAGACGGGTGAGTGTTTGCCATAATGTGTCTCATTGACTGTGATTACATCTAGTATTGGTCTCTTGGGGCACCTCTTCATTATTGATTCAATAATTTTATATGAATCTGCCCTGGTTAAAAATTGTGTTTTGATTATATGGTGTATTGAAGGATAGATGTTTTGCTTTTCCTTATAAATGTAATTTAGCTTAAAACAAGTGCCCAGTGAGTATTATTATAGGATTATAATACCGTGCGGTTACCTTGCAATGGTTCCGAGGATGACTGTCTGCATAGCCTGGTCTCTGATCAGGCCTCGTGGTTGATGGTCTAGTCAACCTGGCTGTTGGACATAGCTTCTCGCAGCCTGACATGTAAGTCGCAGCCTGGCTGATCAGGTACCCTTTGGAGGTGTTATCAAATTCTCCTTTGAACATTGTGAGAGGTTGGCCAGTTATGCCTATAGTGATTAGAGGGAGAGTGTTGCAAGGTCTTGGGCCATTGATGCTGTTAGAGTTGTCTCTATCAATGCCTGATAGAGATTGGTCTGATTTAGTTATGCATATCTAGCTGTTCTCCCAGCTTATTTCTGTGAGGTCTTTATTTATTAGTTCCCAGGTCATCTGTTTAAAGTATTATTAAAATTTAATTTGCTTGTAACACATGATTTTGGGTGACAATATTCAAAGAGGATTGTGTTTTTATGTTTATTTTACATAGTTTGGTCATAGCAGTAGGATGTTAGAAATGGTACAATGGTGTCATGATAGGTTGAGATGAGGATGCTTGTAACATGCTGCGGGCTGAGGCAGATGGGACATGGTGCAGAAGGTGGCTGGAGACGGAGAGCTTGTGTGAGACCTGGAGCCGAGAGCAGAGAACTAGAGTGAGGTTGGGGGCTCAGAGCTCAATGGAGGGCGAGAGCGGGGAGCTCGAAGGAGGACGAGAGCAGAGAGCTCGAACGAAGGCGGGAGCAGAGAGCCTGGATGAGGGTGCGAGCAGAGAGCTCGAATATGGTTGGGATTGGCCATCTGCTCTTTTGTGAGACTTGAAGTGTCGGGTGTAAGAGTTGGAAATCTACTGGTGTCTTCGACCGTGTTATGTCTGCATCTATCTAACCTTGCGCTGGACCCAGTTTGCTTCCTTATTTGGCAAGCCGATCGTCATTTGGCCTGATGGGAAGCTCGTTGATTCTTTTGGCTGTCCTAAGTGATCCATAGAACTCTTTTTTTTTTTTTTGGATTTATGGCAAATGTCATTATGGTTAGTGAATATGATTGCGGGTGTCATTAGCAATTATGGGGATTATTGAGAACTTTCAAATGCTTGAAATAAAATTTCTTGGAATGTGGAATAGCTTGAAGATAATTGAAGTGGTTGCTACAATATCTCTAATGTGGCTGCTACATGCTGAATTCTCCTCCACTTGGATTAAAGACTGGCTGAGCAGGTATATTGCTCATGATTTTCTGTACCATATATTGGTTAGGTTGTGATCTGAGTAACATAATTATCATTATGTTCCTAACTTGTTCATCATTGTAAAAATAGTCTATGGTGTTTTCTAGTTGGTTTTAATATTTGTTAGTTTAAGGCAAATTTGTTACATGTCCATAAGAGGCCATTTGTTTGTGTTCATGTAAGACTGCTTCCTGGGATTCTCTCTGGTGTAACTGTCTTTACCATATTCTATTTTAGATTCCGTTAGTTGAATGAAGATGGTGTTTGGACAAGGTTTGTGAGCTTTTTTTTTCCAAGCATTGTTCTACTTTCAGTAGTTGGTCTTTAACTGGTGAGGTTTTGTATCTGGCGACCTATATACATGGACAACCACATTTAAAACTTTTATTTCGATTATCATTACTTCTGCCATATCATTTGTGGTGTTTGGCAGCTCTGTGCAGATGAGTGTCTCTTTTGATATATAGGCTGACCCCACCCTATAACCTGTGTTTTCTGTCACATCAGAAAAAATTGCATTCTGGTATACTGTATCCATGTAGTAGTAATTACTATCATAGTAATACTTTGTGAGAGTTCCAGTTAGGGCTGCAAACTCTACATTTGCCTCATATAGGAGGCCAGTTATAAAATGGACTTCGTTTTGCTTGTTTTTATGCTTGAATGTTGACAGATATATATGATATTGTATTTGTGGAAGTGCTGAGTGTTTTATGTGGTGTAGTTACCAGGGGTTCTAGTAGGGGGGGTGCCACTGTTTGTGTTCTGTTTAGCGTTTGACTGAGTTGGTGGTAGACCTCTTGTTTACCTGTTGTTGGTTCCAGGGTTCATTGTCTCTGTGGCCTGGAGAGACCAGACCTCTTGGGGTTTGTGGTCTGGTCAACCAGGCTGTTGGATGCAGCGTCTCACAGCCTGACAAATGAATCAGCCTGGTTGATCAGGTATCCTTTGGAGATGTTTATCAAGTTCTTTCTTGAACACCATGAGAAGTCGGTTGATTGTGTCCCTTATGCATAGTGGGAGAATCTCTCCCTTCAATGAAGTGGAATTCATTGAAGGGAGAGATTACTGAAGCCAATTGCATCCATAACATTAGGAAAACTATAATGAAAATATTAATGTCAAGAGTGGTTATTGGCACGTTGGGTATAAATGGCTAGAAGCTGAGGGACATAAAGAACTAGATTTCATGCTCCCATAGTCACTCAGAGGTAAACAAATTATCTTATGGGGTTAGTGTTAGGACTATTTCTCTTCCAGGTCTTTTTCTCTTATTATTTCTTGTAATTGCCTGCCCCTTATGGTATAGTTAAATAGAAGTCTCCTGTCTCCCTTACCCATTTTTCATAATTTTGCACTTGCGTACTGTATTTGGATTCAATTCCAGCAGCCATTTATCTGCCTGCTCCTGAAGTTTGTTAAAGTCTTCTTGCAGCACCCTACAATCGTCTTTAGGTTTTACTTTTCTCATTAACTTAGCATCATCTGTAGACATTGACATGTTTGAGGTTACTCCCTCTGCGAGGTCGTTTACATGAATTAAAAAGAGCAGTAATCTTAGGACAGAGCTGTGTGCAACACCACTTTCCGCTCCTCTCTAGCCTGACACATCCTCTCTGATTATGACCTTTTGTTTCCTGTCCAGGTTTTCCTGTACCAGTCCAGTGCCTGTCATGTTATCCCTGCTTGTCTTTTTATCTTGTTTATTAGTCTATTGTGATGAACGGTATAAAAGCTTTTTGGCAGTTTAGGAAGACGTGGTCTATCCATCCTTTCTTGTCTTATTTTGGTGACCCTGTCATTGAATTCAATCAAGTTTGTTAAGCATAATTTTCTGAAGCCATGTTGTACTTCTTATCAAATTTAGTCTCCCTAGATTCCTTCCCCAAATTTACTACTCCCCAGATATCCTCAAAGGGCCCAGCCTCAGCCCTTCAAAGATATAGAGTACTGTAATATACCCCAGATGCTTTTTTTTTTTTACAGGAATTACAGGTACTTTACTGGAATCTCTCTGCCTAGTAATTTTAGATTGGAGTCTTTATAAAATGAATCCTCTGAGTTAAAAGCACCCACAACACACTTTGCAGGATTGAATGTTAAGTTGTATTCTGCATTATATCTTTCACATATTTTTATCAAATTTTCCATAGCCTTCTTTGGTTTGTGCAAGTAAAACTGTCATCTATGTGACAGCTGTTGTGACTTGCATGTGTAATTACCTAAGTGTAGTTATATAATGAGAGCTACGCTTGTGGTGTCCCGTCTTCCCAGTACTCTTTGCCATATAACGCTTTGAAACTACTATTTTGGTTTCCACCACCTCGCCTAACTTGTTCCAACCGTCTACAGAACCAGTCTGTTTGTGAAAGTGAATTTTCTTGTTTCTTCGGCAGCTTTGTTTAGTTAGTTTAAATCAATGACCTCTTGTTCTTGAAGTTCCAGGTCACAGGAATTCATCCCTATCATTTTTATTGATTCACGTTACTATTTTGTACATAGTGATCACCTTACCTTGAGGTTACCTTGAGATGTTTTCAGGGCTTAGCGTCCCCATGGCCCGGTCGTCGACCAGGCCTCCTCGTTGCTGGACTAGTCAACCAGGTTGTTGTACGCGGTTGTTCGCCGTCTGATGTTTGAATCACAGCCTGGTTGATCAGGTATATTTTGGAGGTGCTTATCAAGTTCTCTTTAACACTGTGAATGGTCGGCCAGTTATGCCCGTTATGTGTAGTGAAAAGCATGTTGAACAGTCTCGGGCCTCTGATGTTGATAGAGTTCTCTCTGAGTACCTGTTGCACCTCTACTCTTCAACAGGGGGTATTCTTCACAACCTGCCATGCCTTCTGGTCACATGTGATGTTATTCACATATCATATCACCTCTTTTTTCTTCTCTTATAATTTTGGCATGTTTAATGCCTCTAACCTCTCCTTGTAGCTCTTGTCCTTCAGTTCTGGGAACCATTTAGTTGCATGTCTTTGCACCTTTTCCAGTTTGTTGATGTGCTTCTTAAGATATGGGCACCATACAACTGCTACATTTTTCAAACTTTGGTCTAACAGAGGTCATGAATAATTTCTTTAATATTTCACCATTCATGTGCATTATTTAAAAGCCGTTATAAAATTGGAAAGTGTAACATAGGCTCCTCGCACAATGTTCTTTATGTGGTCCTCAGGTGATAGTAAACTCTGTTGAACCACCCCTAGATCTCCTTACCAGAATTTGTTAAAGCTTTTTCACATATTTTGTTGGTTGTGTATGGTCTGTTTTCTCTTGTTCCACATTCCATTACATGTCATTTATTCACATTAAAATCCATTTGCCACGTGGTGCTCCATACACTTATGTTGTCTAGGTCTTCGTGAAGGGCATGACAACCGTCTTAAATTTCTTATCTTCCCTATTATTTTAACATCATCAGCAAACGTGTTCATATAATTCTGTATTCCATCTGGTAGATCGTTTTTGTAGACAATGAACATTACCGGTGCAAGAATTGAACCCTATGGTACTCCACTTGTGACATTTCTCCAGTCCGATACATTGCCTCTGATTACTGCTCTGATTTTTCTGTCAGAAAATTTTTCATCCATGTTAGAAGCCTCCCTGTCACTCCTCCAGTATCTTCTAGTTTCCAGAAGAACCTCTTAAGTGTAACTGTCAAAACTGTGGAGCTGTCTCAATGCAGCTAGCAACAGGGAACCATCGAATCCCCTCCGACCCACCGTTTTCAATAGAATGGCTTATTTAAAAATTCCTCCTCCTTGCTTACCTGTAAACATTCTGTGTTTGCAGATACAGTACTACAGATACAAGCTTCTGAGCCACAGACTTCACATTCTTCTTTGATATTTTTTCAGAATTGTCATTTTTTCATATGTCCTCTGAATCTTCCATCTGCAGGGATTGGCTAAGTATACAGCAAAGAATAAGTGAACATCCAGATTTTGATCGGTATTTCCTGCGCTGCAATGAAGATATTCCTTGGTCAGAAAATACGGAACTTCTTGACTCGGCTGACACTCGCATTCCGTTTGATGTTCTCGACTCCAATGAAGCAGAGACTGTGTTCAAAAATCATGTGAATGCTCTCCAGGCAGAATTAGAAATGAGAGAGTAAGTATTGTTATCTCCTCATGGATTGGTATTCTTTTGTTAATTTAGCAACATACATTTCTACTAATATTAGTACAGTAGTACAAAATAGTATAAAACTAGTAAAATGCATTTTTAAGGAAAGTTTCAACCTTGGTAATGCAGTCAACCATTATACCCTTTGTACTGTTAACTAATATCTCATCCCACCAGCCATCATATCCCGAAGGGGGTAATAAGGATGAGGGTCTGAACCGCTATAATGGAAACATGACTTTTGGCTTGTTTTAATCACCATTATTCCTTTCCATTTGTAACCACCATTATATGTTTCATTTTTTAATCACTCGTCCTCTTTTTACTCTTTGAAAGTTGAGAGCTCGGAGAAAAATAGGAGAGCATTGTATGGAAAGACAGTTAAAGATACTCAGAAAGATACTCGCCCATAAATTATATACTGTATTGTATTCCACAATAACCAGCATCACGCAGACTAAGTAGTATCACACTCCAGCAAAACATCCACATTAGTACCCCATTTCTTGAAGTGACTAGATGAAGTGTGCTTCCCCTGATTTGTCTCATATTACATATTATGGTTTTGATATTACATGTTAAGAATATTAAATTAGTTACACTGTGATTGTGCCGCCAACTAATCCATTTATTCCATTCTCACGGCATCGTTCAGGCTTCCACGAAGGTACGATGATGAATCTGTGTGTGCATGTTGCAATGTAGCTCCTGTAACTGTCTTGATTTATAATATATTCTGTATTTTAATTATTTGGTGTTAACACAGAATTCATCTGATCCACACATGGTAGCATGTGTGGATTTTGTTCCTAGCAAGGAACAAAATTGGTTCTCTTTGGATGTAGCTAATGATGCACGCTCTTCAGTTAATTTCTTTATAATGTATGAGGTGTATGGTTCTGTGTAGATGATTTACAACTGATTTTAATTGTAATGTTAGCTTTTGCTTTGTCTAGTTACAAAATTTTTGTTCTGTACTTGTACTAAATTCTCGAGGCAATTTTATCCTTAGTTCTGTAATTGTAGAGTTACAGACACAGTACTGTATTTAATAATCATCTTTTTCATAACATAACCCTTAAACTGCTCGTGTCATTTTCAAACCACCTAGACCCATGGTGCTCCTGTCATGTGTGAATGATTAATGTGCCTCATAATATTCCATTCCTAAATATTGTGTAGTTGTCACTTGACACTAGAGACCTCTGGCAATTGTTTGTATTATTGGGAAAAATTCCTGAAGGCCTTGGTTACCCACCTGGACATTATTAAACAAAAATGGTAACATTTCCGGCACATAACTGTTCATTGATATCTGTGCTTGAAGACATTTACGTTATGCAAAATTTCAAGGATGTCTATGAACCAGGAAGACATTTATGATAAGGAGAAATTTATTACAAATAATTTACTTGGAAACTGATTTTCAAAAATTTGAATTTTTTAATTTATTTTCTTGACATGAGAAATATTTGATGTAAGTGATCTTTTATAATATAAAAAGGAGAGACTTAAGAAATCATTATGCACACCTGGAAATGGACCTAAAAACAGTGTGCAGTTTGAGGGTTAAAATTGTTTTTAATATTTTAGTGGTACTGATTGGAGTTATTATTCTTAAACAAAACTTTGAAATAAGGTCATAAAAGTACACATTTGTAGGCTATGATTGGTAGCTCTTCCATACAAACTGTAGATAAGTAGGTAAAATTATTGGCCTTGTGTAATGTTAACTTTCAGGTTTTATTAACATTAGATCAATCTTTTTCTTGTAATTACCTAAGTGTAGTTACAGGTTGAGAGCTACGCTCGTGGTGTCCCGTCTTCCCAGTACTCTTTGTCGTATAATGCTTTGAAACCACTGATGGTTTTGGCCTCCACCACCTATTCACTTAGTTTGTTCCAACTGTCTACCACTCTATTTGCAAAAGAAAATTGTATAATTTTCTTTGGCCACCTCTATTTTCCTAGCTTGAATCTGTGTCCTCTTGTTCATGAAGCTGCTGGTTTCAGGGATTCCTCTTTGTCAATTTGATCTATTCCTGTTATTATTTTGTAAGTGGTGATCATATCGCTTCTCTTTTATCTTCTAGATTTGGTATGTTTAACGCCTCCAGTCTCTCCTCATAACTGTTATTTTTCAGTTCCAGAAGCCATTTTGTAGCATGCTGTCGCATATTTTCTAGTTTATTTATGTGTTTCTTGAGATTTGGGCACCATACAATTGCTGCATATTTTAATTTTTGTCTCACAAAAGTTATGAACAGTTTCTTTAGTATTTCACCATCCATATAATTAAAAGCAAGTCTGAAGTTGGAAAGCGATGCATACGCTCCGCTGAAAATGTTCATGTGTTCCTCTGGCGACAGTTTACTATCCAAAAATCACCCCACGGTCCCATTCTTTATTAGAGTTCTGTAATTCCTTTCCACATAATTTGTAAGTTGTGTGTGATCTATTTTCTCCAATTCCTCATTCCATAAAATGGCACTTTACCACTTGATGCTCCAAGCACTTATTTTATCTAGGTCAATTTGACGGGCATTACAGTTGTCTTCATCTCCTATCGTCCCCAGTATCTTGGCATCATCCGCAAACATGTTCATATAATTCTGTATTACTTCCGCTAGATCGTTTATGTAGACGATGAACATTACAAGAACTGAACCCTTTGGTACTCTGCTAGTAACACTCCTCCAGTCAGATACATTGTCTCTGATTACTGCCCTCATCTGTCTGTCAGTTGGAAAATTTTACATCCATGTCAGAAGTTTCCTTGTCACTCCTACAGCATGTTCCAGTTTCCAGAACAGCCTTTGTGTGTGGGACTCATCAAAAGCCTTTTTTAGGTCCAGATAGACACAGTCTATCTAGACTGTGTCCAGATCGTTTTGTGTAGATTTAGGTGATTTAATTTTTAGTTGTGTGTAGGTTTAGGTGCTTTAATTTTTTTCAGCAATTACATTTTAGTTGATATCCTCTATTGCTATTTTTTTGAGTGGGTGCTTTTGTTGTTGGTGTGTGTGTAGGTTCTCTTGAGTGATTAACTCCGTAGAGTTGAAATATATAATGTGCTAATTTTAATGTTCTTGTGGTATATCATGAGCTTTGGTAGAAGATAACAAGATATGTTTATAATTACATTAATAAGTAAGCAATTGGATTGTAGTTAGAGGCCTGAACAATCTGGCATTGTTTTACTTTAAAATGTTTTGGACAAAACTGAGAATAGGGGGGTATATGCAATATCATGTTCAAATGGAGAGAACTATTCCTAAAGTATGGTAAAGAAGAGAGAGTAAAGTTAAATGTATAGTTTTAATTAATATGAACTTGACTGAGAGAAATATCAATGAAATAATGTAAATGTTAATTTTCAGTCTTGCCTGATTACTTGTGAAATTATCCTCGTGCTCTTGTGAATGATTAATTGACCTTTTCTTTATTCTCTTTATTTATCTATGACAATATTCTCTGAAAATGGTATTTTTCAAAATTTCGGTCATAAACTCGTAAATAAACTCTTATGATTATATGAACCTCGGTTTCATGCCTTTTGTTAGACTGGCTGGTAATAGTGGTGAGGGCAAGAGGTGTGAAATAAAGCATTTGTGTTAGGGTTTTTGTAGTGTAGTTGTGGCTATTTTGTGCTTTTTATCAATATAGCCATAAACAAGAATTTATGATTTGATATGGAATTACTGTAATGCTTGAGGGTTTTTTAATAATCATAAATTAGCATGAATAAACCATAAACTCATATAAATAAGTTATATGAGTTCTAAAAAGCTCTTCTGCAATTAGAGAAAATCCAAGTTGACCAACAGCAAGGTGTTAAAGAACAAAAATAATCTGAATGATTATATAAAAATGTCAACATTGTGCTGGCTGAATGAAGGAGGTAGATGATGACGACAATTTGGACAATGTTGAAGCAAGATCATTCATACACTCGTAAAGATTAGATTATTTACACCATGTGAAATACCTAATTTATTATTTGAATTTTACCTGAGGTTAAGATAATTAAATTGATAGTGAACTACAGAATGTAATTTGAAGTATACAAAGCAGAAGAGACTTAGTTTTAATGTTTGATGGCATGGTAAGATTGTGCAGAGTTGACTCGTAAGCTAGGTAATCATATAGTGGTCACAAGTCAGGTGGAGTTCGTAATGGCAGTCCAACCTGTTCTCTCAACTTTTTGTATGTTGGGGACTATGGTCCCCAATGTACAAAATAAAGGCTACTATGAAAAATAGTTTCATACAAAATTAAATGTTTTCTACATGTAGGCTCATTAGGTTAGGTGGGTGACTTGGGTTTGTGCATTTTAGTACCCCCTTGTTTCGTATGTTCTGGCAAATCGAGAGAACAGTGATTTCCTAAACACATTAGTAGTGTTTAGGATTTCTGTCAGTGCTCATTTTGTTAATGTTACTTGTGCAGGCTATGAGTCACAATAACGTGGCTAAAGTATGATGACCAGACCACACGCTAGAAGGTGAAGGGACGGCGACGTCTCGGTCCGTCCTGGACCATTCTCAAGTCGACTTGAGAATGGTCCAGGACGGACCGAGACGTCGTCGTCCCTTCACCTTCTAGTGTGTGGTCTGGTCATTTTAATGTTACGTGATTAGGTATTTTTTGTTACTGTAAAAATTCCTTATATTACTGTACTATGCTTCTGAAATATAGTGTCTTAATCAGTTGTCTTATTTTTAAAGGATGCGCGACAAGTTCAAGTTATTGCTGGCCGAAACCGGGTATGTTACGCCAGGCAAGAGACTAGATGAGGTGCGTGTACTATTCATGGGTAGAGAAAGCTTTGACTCTCTCTCGGAACATGATCGTCAGTTTATTTATGATCAGCATCAGAAGGACATCACTGAAAAAGCAAGACAAAATTTTCATGTAAGAGCCTTTTCATTTGTACATGTATGAATTCATTGGTTATAAATAATATAATATGCTTTAACTACTATAGTTATAAAATAAAGTTAGAAATTAAGTTCACAAACACCTCAAGGTGTTTGATAGTTTTGAGATTTTATGACAAAGGAGGGAAAGGATGGAAGTGTTCCTTATTAGTTTTAAAGTGAGCATCTGGCTTTGCTGTTTATGTCTGGGAGTGGATGACATGTGGCAGTTGTGGCCCAGGGATGGACACAGTCCTGTTAAAAAGTTAACTTAGTGAAAAATATGAAATTTTGTACAAAAGACAAAAACATGAAATTAATTTAGGAAAATAGGTCAACCTTAAAAAAAATGCCAACAAATGCAAACAAGTACAAAACAACTATACGGCAGTGAGAAGAAAATGAGAAAAGAGCTCTGAGAAAGAGGCAGCGGATGAATATAAAACAGAATCAGGAGTATTCTATAAATTCATGAGTAGCAAATTGCAAGTGAAAGGCAAAGTCCCAAGGCTAAAAATGGGAGATAAAGGCTGAGAAGGAAATGTGCTTATCACTAAATGAACAGTTCTGAAATGTTTGTGCGTGGAATGAGGTTTTCAGAGAACCAGATGCAATACCAACTATTAAGGACAATGTAAAGGACCTAGAAGTTTATGGAGGCGAGATAGAAAAATTGCACAAGGACTTTGACAGAAACAAAGCAGCCGAACCAGATGGAGTCTTGCCTTAGGTTCTAAGTAAATGTGCCCCTGAGATTAGCACCCCAGTACACATCAGAAAACTAAAAAAAAAAAAAAAGAGTGTAAAGACATGCTGCTAAATAACTCGAGTCGGGGAGCCAGTCGGCCGAGCGGACAGCACACTGGACTTGTGATCCTGTGGTCCCGGGTTCGATCCCGGGCGCCGGCAAGAAACAATGGGCAGAGTTTCTTTCACCCTATGCCCCTGTTACCTAGCAGTAAAATAGGTACCTGGGTGTTAGTCAGCTGTCACGGGCTGCTTCCTGGGGGTGGAGCCCTGGTCGAGGACCGGGCCGCGGGGACACTAAAAAGCCCCGAAATCATCTCAAGATAACCTCAAGATAACTTCTGGAACTAAAAGATGAGTTATAAAGAGAGGCTATAGATGTTAAATATACCAACACTAGAGGATAAGAGGAAAAGAAGAGATTTGATCACTACTTGCAGCTTAAAGAGCAAAGGGCCATGGATTGAAGCTAAGGTGCTAAGAAAATATATGAAAGTTCTCCTTTGCAGACAGAGTTGTAGACAGAACAATTGAAGGGAAAATGTGGTTGATAATAGAATCATCAGTTGTTTCAAAGTGACATGAAAAAGATGGGACACCATGAATGTAGCTTTTGTCTTATAATTACTCTTTCGTAATTACTTAGATAATTATAGTGCTTAACTCTTAACCTCTGGGCAGCGCAGCTATTAATAGCCGACAACACCGCTGTGTGCTAGAAAAAAAATTGTTCCTTCTAAAAATTTTAAAATGTTATAGTGGAGGACAAGGTGGCAGTGATGGTGTGGGCCTCACCCTGGAGGCAGGCACAATGGTTGCTATTCCTGTCTGTATCACTCTCATCTGTGCCCTGGGTATAATCTTTATCAATGTCCGAGTCATCAATATCAATATCAATTTCCTCGTCTTCTGGAAATAATTCATTGTGAATTTCCTCATCTGTCAATGAATGGATGGAGCAGTTTGCTGAGTGTGGTCATGAGCCAGGAGGTTATGTCCCCGCCATGGTGTCCCAGTCGTATCTGATTTACCCGAGGGCCACCAACCCTAGTGGCCTCGACAAGGGCAGGAAGCCGGTGTTTTGTTGAAGGTCTCCTCTATTTGCCTTGATGATCTTTTCTAGGTATATTTTTAAACTCAACACAGTTTTGGCATTTATGGCCTTGGTGGGTAGGCAGTTCCATGGGTTAATAACCTTGTGGGTGAACAAGCATCTCCTGTTCTCAGTTTTACATTGTGACTTGTTGAGCTTGAAACTGTTGCTCCTTGTTTGCGTTACATCGGACCTGACAAAATATTCAGATCAACATCCTCTAACTTGTTCAGTATTTTAAAAGTTTCAATGAGATCTGCCGTGTCATGCCTGGTTTGTAGTATTGTTAGCCCTGTGGCCTTATAGCGTTCCTGATACGAGAAATGGTTTGACTTTGGAATGACTTGGTGCCTGGTGTTGCACCTTCTCCAGAGCAGCTATGTCCTTCTGAAAATGAGGTTTCCATGCTTGGATACAGTAATCCAAATGTATCACCAGATATTTATACAGTTGAACCATTACGGTCTTTTCTGTGAACTAATGCCTTCCCACCTGTTACAAAAGTGGGTGCTCTGAAGGGTCAGTGTTTAAGGTAATGGAGTTCCAATCAATGGGGTTAGGTAAGGCCCGGCTTCCAGGGAAAACAGTTCCCAGAAAAGAATGAATATTACAATATATGGTGTGTCGTCTAGAAATAAATCACCTACCCTGCTACTGCAAGGGTGATGGAAACTCCTGGTTGTGGATGTAGCATAAATCCACTGCCGATGCAACTGGTCAAGGGGGGGGGGGGTGTCAGTTAGAGTAGAATAAGAAGAGCTTGGGGTCAGGGAACTTTGTTGTGGTGTTAGTCCTAGCACCTGATGGTGTTTTAGGGTAGTAGTAGTAACCTAGTAAGTGAAATTGCACTTGGAAAGGCTTTAAGCTTTGTATGAGCTCTCTGGCTGTATACTATCAACCTTCCATGACTGTGTGAGAGTCTAACCACAAGTCAATAGGATCTTGCCATTATCAAGAACTGAATGGGAAAGCTCTGAAAGTAGATACTGCATTTTAATGTGAATGTAAATTAATAAAAAGACCTGTACTATAAAAGAAGTATGTTTGTAAAAATTTATTCCAAATGACTAAAATGCTTTTCAGTAAGTATATACTGTATCAAAGTGTTAGCAATGCAAATAAATTAGATTAATTCTGATATTTTTCACAACGAATATTTATATATTTTTATATTATTTTATTATTATTATTATGATGATGCAGGTACAGTATTATAATATTATATTTTATTATATATTTTTGGGATTTTTAGAATGCCGGTATTTGTGTCTTACAGGAGCTGCTACTGGAGCAAGCAGAACTATTTTATCACGTTAAAAGCATTGCCCCCACCGGCACCATCACTCAGGAGGACATCCGAGAAATAACTCAGACGTTACAGGAAGACAGCAGGTGAGGGCAGTTACTGAGCTCAAGGCTTAGGTTTGAACTGGCAGTGTATCTGTAGGTCAACTTAATTACATTTTAGGGTTTTACATGACGTTGTTATATTGAGTTTGTTCCATTGTGTATGTAGGTTTTTGTTTGCTTTTATTCCTGTAAGTATTGAACTGTAATTGCTTTTACCTTGGCATTATAAATAGAATAACATCATCGATATTAGGTTTATAAAATACTTAATTGTAATTTGATTTCCATTGTGTAAAGAATAGCATACATAGCATAAATTTCTTATATAGTACAGTAGTTCACTTTGGGTTTGGTAACTTAAGCACTGCTTTCCTTAATATTAGCAGCAATGCTATAATATGTTTCCTTATGCATTCTTGCCACTAAGGTATACAGTTTTGAACTATGGGAAATGGTAGGTCAAAGAGTGTAGATAAACGTGATTATAGATACAGTAGCTCTTTGCGCTTACGGTATTGTATACTCCATGATTGATATATTGGCATTAGTAGTTTATTTTCTTCCTTGTGTATGTTTTGTCTTTATTCTACCTCTTAGCTATCACAAAAGATGACTCTTTCATATTTGTCCAGTTTTTCTGCTGAAGATTTTCATATATACCATATCTAAATGATCTGCCTCTTTTAATAAAATTTGCATTTTTGACATTGTAACCTTGCAACTATTACTGTTTTTTTTTGTGTGTATTTCTGTCCTTCATCCTTCCTAAGTACTACATTGTAGAGAACTCCATAACTTTGTTTTCAGATTTAATATCATCCTTTCTTTCAGTGCAGAAAAGAGAACACATCAAAGTTTTGTTTCCTTATTGAGTCTGCTGCAACATTCGCTATTAGACGAGTGTTTGCTTTTCTTTGAGAAGATTGGGTATTTACCTTCTTGACTTGTTTTTGGATATTTGTAGTTTGATGGTTTTCAAGATTTAAAAATCTAAAATGCGTATTTTCTTCACTCACAAGGTGGGAGTTTGCTATCATGGAGACGTTTAAAGTGGGCCTTGACTAGATAGTCAACAGCTCTGAGTATATAGTTACTAGCAATATCCTACTGTTCGCTCAGCTACTTCATTTGACTTTTTACCATATTTTGAAAGTTTGAGTGCTACTATTTCTGGTAGTTCCTTGTTAAACGAAATAACAATTTTGCCATTCGGAAATAAAATGGTGACATTTTACCAGATGTTTAAGAAAGGATTGAGACTTATTGAGGATGCCTTGGTGTTTGATTCTGTGGAAATGACTACCTGTATGGGGTTCATCACGTGTAACTTGCACTGCTATATATAATGGTTAAATTTGATGATTTTGGGATTCTTCTTTACCTCTGCAGCTCGGGCTGTGCCCAAGCTTCCTGGCTGGTCTTCCGATCTTCCAGGCTGTTGCTATGCGCAGCCCGCAGTTCTGCATACCTACTTCGTCCCTGCTTATCAGGTACATCTTTATGGTAGTTGAGTAATCTTGGCCACCTGATGTTGAAAGCTTCTTGTCGTGTGGATTAAGAAAGTAATACAGTACACCAATTGTTACATTTTCATCCTCTCATTCTTATTTTGGTATCTCTATTCCTCTCTTTTTTTTTGGTCATCTAGTTACCCTTGTTATACAGTATTATACAAATTTGACCATTTTCCTGTATAGTCAACCATCCACTTTCTCGGACATTATGGTACCGTGACCATCTGAGAAACTGGTGTCTGAAAACTGGCTTGTGCATTCTCCAGTTTTCAATACAAATTAATATACAGCTCAGTACTTAAAATTTAAGTGTACGTGCCAATATCCATGTACTGTTCCTTGTAGTTGTTAAAGAATGTTGTTGTTACTCTAGAAAGTTTATATGGTGGCTTTTAGAGGACTTTTCTGAAGTAGGATTACTTAATAGTCTAGCCACAAACTCGTCTGCACCAGCTGACTGCTTCTCCCTGTTCATTGTTATATTCAGTTCATAATATCATGGTAGTTTTTACAGTTTCTTAGCTATCCATTAGTATTCAGTTAGTGCTCAATAATATACATTGATGTGAAATTCCCTTGCCTCCTCTATGAGCAGCCATTCTGTTAAGGTTTGTGTTGTCATTACCTCATGTTCCTGCCTGTACCAATTATACACATCATACTTTTTCTCACTGCCTTCATTCTGTATTGTGTATGACAGGTATTTCTGTTGGGAAGCCCCATCAGCTCCCTGAGGCTGGCTTACTTATAAAGTGCCACACTACTTGGAGTCAGCAGTTGCAGAGTTCTTGTAGCCATCCTGGATACCATGAGCCAGAACCTGGCCCCCTCACAGAGGTGCAGGGAGCAATGGCACATGAACACTTTACATGTAAAGTTTATCATCTTGCCATCAACCAGGTAAGCACCCAGAAAGGTAGGCGGATCAAAACAGACTACTGCCTGGTTGAAAAATGTGACCTACACCCTCAAAAGAGCAAAAGAACTCCTCCTTAAAAAAAAAAAACAAGCAAAACATTGTCCTACTACTAGCCCCTGCTTGTTCCCTCCATCTACCCTCCTGGGGGGAGGGGGAGCTGGCCTGGGTGAGTCGGTCACCACCAGTCAGTTCTTGACTGATGTGCCTGGGGTCAGTCTTCCTCTGTACGTAGCGCCGTTCCCCAATTGCAACGCCCTAGTGATGAACACTTTTTGGCAGGGCTGGTCATGGTGGGTGTTCCTGTATCATTTTTCCCGGTCCAGCTGTTGTTTCGGACTCTGGCTCGGTTGAAATCCTACTGTGGGAGAGTGATTCTCCTGGCCCCATGGTAGCCGGCCCAGCTTTGGTTTTAGGTGCTGCTTGTTCATCCTTGGTTTCAGGTGCTGTTTGCTCGGTGTCCGAACCTGGGCGTTTTCCCGCGGGTCCACCTTCCTCGGCAGCGAGGACGGGTGAGTTACCTCGCTGGTTTGGTCTTCACTTCCGCCATACTTATCTGGTCATTCTGACGCGTGTATTTTGCCATTTGTAAGGCGATCAGATGGCTAGTTTGGTGGTGTCCCACCTGCTGTCTTCTTCTATGGGACAGTATGAGGTTTCTTGGAGGGCTTTCTACCATTTTCTTATTCTTTGTCGGGTTTCTGTGGTGTCCGACAAGGTTGTTTTGTCTTCTCTCTCTTGGCTTTTTTCTGGATTGTCATATCATGCCGAATACTGTTGTTTCTTATCGTGCGGCACTGGTGGAGCCACTTCAGCTTGCATTTAGGGTTGATGTCACTTACGCCCCATTCCGCAAGCAAAGGGGGGAGGGGAGCTCATGAAGCTAACGAGTTGGGGCTAGTTGGACAAAGTTTTGCTTGTTTGTTTTCTTTAATGGGGGAGTTCTTTTGCTCTTTTGAAGAAAAGGTTTCATTTAGATCGCATTTTTCAACTAGGCAGTAGTCTGTTTTGATTTGCCTACATTTCTGGGTGCCTTCCCTGGTCGAGAGCAAGATGATAAACTTTACAGGTAAAGTGCGTGTTCATGCGCAATTGCTTCCTGTGCCTCTGTGAGGGGGCCATGTTCTGGCTCATGGTCTCCGGTAGGCTACAAGAACTCTGCGACTGATAACTCCAAGTAGTGTGGCATTTAATTAGTAAGCTAGCTTCAGGTAGCCTCCGGGCGCACCCAGAAATTGGTGTTTCATTACATTCAACGCTTGTTTTTTATTTCAAGAATAATATTCAAAGATAATATCTTTAGCCTTCAAAATATCAGTGAGAATTGCTTTGCTCACTTCATACTTACTACACATACAGCTCCTCAGGCTCTCATTATCAGTCTTCTATATTATCTCTGTAGTTTGTTCTTGGCTTGATGCAAAGATCTTCCTACATTTTTTTAATCCAGGAATACAGTGGAAATGAGCATGTGGGTGCACATTCCTCACAATGCAGTGTGTGTATACTGTACTTACGTGGGTCAAGTGTGTAAAAGGTGCACTTATTATGTCTAGGATGGCTGGTGAGGAAACTAGGCATCTTATAATCCTTGAGTTCTGCTCACAGTTTAATCAGCCATTTTCATTCAGATAAAATTGTAAAATGAGAAATTTGCTACATGGGTTTATCCAAGAAAGTGGTATTTAGAAAGTGCATGGTTGACTATACAATATTTCCAATTCTGTATAGAGAATCTGGATGAAGAATCCTTTATTATCGACAGTTTTGTTTGTCTAATGATAACGGAAAGTTTTGTGTATACAGTAGTTGCAGTCAGAATTACCTTTATATGGTTATTCTTTGGATAATTTTGGCAACTTTTATATGAAGTGTGAATCCTTTTGATGAATACCCTTTACTTTTTTTAGTTGTTCATATAAGGGTTTATGTTACAAATATAGCTTTGTGTATCTTTTTTTTTTATTGTAATTTTGGGTTTGATTTTTAATAGTTGTGTCACGTCATGTGTCTGTGGACCTTCATAGCTGGAGCTGCAAGGTTTGTTCTTAATCTTTATTACATATTCCCAATAAGGATTCCTTACTCTCGTGTCTTAGTTTCTGTATTTTTTACGACAGGTTTCTATTCACTATTTCAAACCCCTCTTTGTACTGTAACTTGAAATTCTTAAGTAAGAAGAGAAACAATAGCTTACCTAGTTGTGTACTTGTTTAGTTGTATCTAAAGGGAGGGAGCTCTAGCTCTAGAACCCCACCTTCTAGCTTTTTTTGGGGAATTTATATCTTGTGTTTTTTCAGTCCTGTCACATTTGTTCATGAAGTTGTGAATAATGGTTACTTCTACCACTTGGTTTATTAAGCTCATTCCAGTTGTTTACCACTCACTGATTATTAGTATTTCCTTGCATTTCTCTGGCTCATCTGTGTTTCCCAGCTACAAACTGTGCCCCCCTAGGTCTCTTATCCCTCACCCAGAGAAAATTATTCACTCTTTATAGTCCCCTGAGTATCTTGTACATTGTTATCATGTTGCTGTTTGTCCCCTTTTCTCGTAGCACATTTTTCATATCTCTAATACCTGCCGCAGTTCTTTGAACACCAATTTTCTCCTTAACTTTTACTAGGTGTTGGTTTCATGCTAGAGCTGCAAACTATAGAACTGGACAGACATGGGTCTTGTTTATGATTCTGAAGGTTTCTTTGGTCAGGTATTTTAATGGCATTCTTATATTTGTTAGCCGTGCATAAATAGCAGATGTTACTCTGTTAACAGTATAATTAATCTTAATGGGTCAAATATTAATGGAAACGAGAAGGAAAAGTGAGTTTTCTTAAATTAATAGTGGCAAAATGTGTTTATACAAAGCATGGATTTCACAGCACCACACACATTTACAGACTTTGGAGTATAATGTAACGCACATTGATGTCTTGAGAGATAATTTAAAGATTATGCTCTTTGGTTAATGCAGAAGCAAGGCAGCAGGATCAGATGTAATTTCACCTTGGGTCAAAATAAAATGTGCTCATGAGCTTAGCAACCCACAACAATTCATTTTTCAGGCATTCTTGCAAACTGGAAATCTTGTAGATATTTGAAAAGAATCCTTAGTTCTAATTTAGAAAAATGATGATAGAGAAAGCCCATCGATGACATTCAGTGACTTCCAGTGACCTTTAGAAACCTCCAATACACTGAATTCCACCAGAGAGAGTTAATAAACACTTTGCCTAGGGAATAACTCATATTGTCTGTAAATAAATATACAGTATGCAGCCTGGGCGAGGATTCCAGTTGCTTCCAAAATTAAAATATTTATTAAAATTCCATTTATTGTTCGATTAATGTGTGACTATATTTAAAATGCATGCCTTTTTAATTGTGAATAATTTGATACCAAAATGAACAACATAGCATGACAATTGAGGTGAGAAGACTGGAAAGAGTATAAATATTTGAGTGTCGGCTCACGGGTAATGCTCGGCCTAACTTCGGGTTTGATGCGGGTGGTGCGGCGGACCTTTTGATCTTATATGCATATATTCCTTTAGAGTATTCTATTGCGAACAATTTGATACCAAAATGAACGACGTAGTACATAAATTGAGGTAACACTGAAAAAATATTAACATTTTAGTGCGGGTATTACCCGCGCTCACGGGTAACACTATGCCTAATTTCGGGTTTGATGCAGGTGACACACCAGGCCTTTTGACCTTATATGCATATACAGTATATGCTTTTAGCGCATTCTATTGCAAACAATTTGATAACAAAATGAAAGAAGTAATATATAGGGAGCCGAAAGAAATAATATATAGGAAGCCGGTCGGCCGAGCGGACAGCACGCTGGATTTGTGATCCTGTGGTCCTGGGTTCGATCCCAGGCACCGGCGAGAAACAATGGGCAGAGTTTCTTTCACCCTATGCCCCTGTTACCTAGCAGTAAAATAGGTACCTGGGTGTTAGTCAGCTGTCATGGGCTGCTTCCTGGGGGTGGAGGCCTGGTCTAGGACCGGGCCGCGGGGACACTAAGAAGCCCCGAAATCATCTCAAGATAATCTCAAGTAGCATGAAAATTGAGGTGGGAAAAATGAAAAGAGTATAAACATTTTAGTGCGTGTGCGTGTTCACAAGAAATGCTTGGTCGACCTTGGGGTGTGCTGGGGGTCATGCGCTGGGCCAGGCAAAGTAATAAAATATAGACCAGTAAGTATCAGTGATCAGTGTGGTAGCCAAATAACTAGAAAATGCAATACACTACTGTAAAAACAAAATGACTGAAATATTGACCAGACCACACACTAGAAGGTGAAGGGACGACGACGTTTCGGTCCATCCTGGACCATTCTCAAGTCCATTGTAAGAATGAAATAGACTTCACAATCGACTTGAGAATGGTCCAGGACGGACCGAAACGTCGTCGTCCCTTCACCTTCTAGTGTGTGTGGTCTGGTCAAATTCTTCAGCCACGTTATTTTGATTCATCACCTGACTGAAATATCTTAATGGAAACAACACAAGAACTCATATGGCTGTTTGGTTTTCGATGTGAAAGGTCACTTGTATCTAATTTACTGTTTTAAGACAAGGTCACTAAAATCATATAGGAAAGAGGTGGGTGGGCAGTTGACTGACAACCGATTGATCCTGAATTTGATTATCAGGGTGATATAGTTGGGTACATTTCCTTACACCTGATTGCCACTGTTTACCTAGCAGTAAGTAGGTTCTCAGGAGACAGCTGTTATGGGTTACATCCTGGGAAAAGTCTGTTATTGGTTTAAGCTAGAGTGACCTCGATGACCTTAACATACTTCCTCTCCCCAAAAATAGGAAGCGACCTGTTCCTAAAAAAAAAAAAAAACTCATTGGTCTCATTGGTTAGATATTAAGTGGCTATTCTTCAAATAGTCTTTAGAAGAGCATTATCATATAAAGGATAAGATTATAATTGTTGCCTCTCTTTGGTCATGTTCTTACTTTATCAAGGATTCCGTTGCTAATACAAGTTATGAATAATAACTATTCATTCTGTTGTTTGCTATTAAGTATTCCATATGTTGCTTTTATAATGGGATCTTTTTTTTTATAGCTCTATCAGTGTCTGTTTATACTCGTAAACTATTGCAGGTCTTGTTATTTGTACTACTGGCTATATAGCCTCTGGAATGGTGTTGATGGCCGGTGCCGCAGCTGTAGAAACTAGACATAATATGTCCAGTTGCATTTATTTGTATCTCTGATGTATATAGTTTGAGGGTAAATGTTATTTTAATCTGCATGCAATATTTTTAAACGGTTTATTGAATTTTTACTAGAAATATCTTTATCACTGAAATTTATTAATATATGGAAATCTTTGCATAGGTCACATAAGTAAAGAAATGTATGCACAATATTTTAGATAACTTAGAGTGAATTAAGGTTGGCTTAATATACACAAATCCTAGGACAGGTTAGAGAGTGAATTAAGCTTATCTTATTGCAGATATAAAGCATTGGACAGGTTAGAAAGTGAACGAACCTTATTGCTGCTTCAGCATTTAGGCTTTGTCCATTGCCCCAAGAAAGAACACTGTCCGTCGTTCCCCAACTGCATGGACTGCCTCATTGAGAAAATTATAGCCAATAAAGCAGCCAGGTATGTCTTAGATGTTTGTTAGTGACTGAGATGGCATGTAATGCACAATACATAATGTACTATTAAGACTGTATGCTCATTTGGTTTGTTGAAACTATTGTTTATATTGTGGAGTGTTGGTAGGTTACAAATTACTTGTTAGTGTAAGAATATATAAACTGCTTGTGAATATCTCAGTAAAATAATAAAGGCAAAAAAAAAGAAAATCAGTAAAAAAATGTTGGAAATAAGAATGTGATAAAAACTTTACCTTTATTATTGTTATGATTAAAGTTGAAATATAGGTATAGGAACAAATGACTACAGAGGTGTCGAGTCATGATGAAACTGATCAGTTAAAGTAACTTTGTTATATACCAGTTTTAAACCAATTGGACTAAGATATAACAATACATTTTTCACAAAGTATAAAGAAGATAGATTTAAGTAAAAATATATATTGAAAATCCCCATAGACTAAAGACAGGAGAGTTGGGATGGCAGGATGCTTTTTCCTATAGACCTTCGTCATAATTTGTTGATTTTCTTGTCTTTGTAATTTTTCACTTATTGCAAATTCAATTTTATTTTTCTCTAATAGTTTATTGGTTCATGAACGTGATCAGCAAAATAATTGTAATAAAATAAGTAATACATATGTAGAACTCGTAAAATAATTATATTTTTGCATTTTCAGTAATAGTCGGCCAGGTTCAGGCACATGGAGCAGTAAAAATGTAGACTATGGTGTGCGCTCTGACCCTCAAGTTAATCTTGTCTTGTTGGGCAACCAGGGTCTGGCCGAGGACCTCCAAAATGTTATTCGGGTGAGTGTTCATTGTCTTTACCCTTACCTATCATGTCCTTACACTTCTTAAATTCTCAAAGAATAATTTATCATGCTTTTGCACAGGCTTATATTCTCTTTGGAGGAAGTAGTACAGAACAAGTGGATAACATAGGAGATATTGATAGGGTATTACATGTATCAACGTAAGTATCTTATGTTCTTGAGGTTGCTTGTGTTTATGGCAGGGCCATTGGATCCTGTCTCTGCGTTGGCTTGGGGTCTTGAAGTGGGTAGGATGTAATTATGTGTTAACTGATTGTTGATGGCTGGTCTTGACTTTTTGATGTGTAGCACCTCGCTGATGTCCAGTCTTCTGTTGTCGTTATACCTGTCGATTATTTCAGTGTTGCTCATTAAGATGTCTCTGGTGACATCTTACAGGCTGCTGCTTGGAGTGGCCCGCAGGTCCACATTGCATCATCCAATGAAATCTCATGTTCCATTAGGAAATGAACATGTTCAAAATTATTCAGGATTTAGTGAGCAGGATTCTGATAATTGCAGTGTTTTGGTTAGAGTTAGTGATGTGCTTATTATATCGGGTGGCACTGCTTGGTCAAGTGTCAGCAACTGATGAGCGTTGACCAGACCACACACTAGAAAGTGAAGGGACGACGACGTTTCGGTCCTTCCTGAACCATTCTCAAGTCAATTGAGAATGAGAATCAAGATAATCAAGTTAAGTGTAAATTATGTAACAAATTTGGCCTGAAGAGGTAGTTAAAATTTCATTTTTTTTTCATTAAGTTTTGCTTGCCTTTCAGAGAAACATTAACATTATTACTCTTGCTAAAGGTTTGTTCTATGGTGCTGTATATGTTTGACAGGTACATTGTTTCCACAACTACTTGAACATTTTTTATACATAAATATTCAGGAAATTCTTGTCAGTTGCATAATTTAGTGTTTTATAAATACATACTTATCCGATTAGTGGAAACAACATTTGCAGTCTGTGTGTGAAGATGATGAGTTCGAGTTGGACAATCAGATATTCTCATTAGACTACCGAAGTATAGATGGAGATGTTTCTCTTCCTCAAAACTCCTTCAAGACGCCTGAATTTACTCCTCATGGTGAGTAATTACCAATGTTTCCTTCACCTTTCTTTGTATCCATACATAAGTATGGAAATATAATGTTGTATGATAATCTTGAGTATTTCAAATCAAATCAAAGGCTTTATTCATAAATGGTTGTGCATAATTGGGAATAATTGGGAACGTAATTAAATAATTGGGAACATAGGCATATAACCTTACAGTACATTAATTATATAAGAATATTACAATAACAGCAGAGCACATAGACACTATTATTATCACTTACTCATTATGTCAAGGATCATCTTTGCTTCATTAGCCTGAATGTGTGATTACTGTATTTGCAACCTTATTTTGTTATACAGTAATACTGTATTACGCATTTCTATTTATGTGCCTAATAGCATGCAATTATAAGAATGGAAGAGTTGCTTGCACTCTTTCTAACTTGATCCTCTTTCTGACCTTCTGCAAAGGAACATGCTTCAAGTAGACTTTTGTATAATTTGGCAGTCATTTGTTCTGTTCCTTGTGTGGAGTGTTTTGTTACTTAAGACAGTATTCTATTGGATGCTTGCAAGTTCTATATTAACTTTTTCCCAGTCAATCCTCTTCTTATTAAAATTTAATTTATTGAATAACTTCTCTTGCTTGGTGATCTTTTTGGACTTACTGTGAGCATTCATGTTAGTTTGCACTTCAGTGACCTTGTGATCTGAGTTTATTGTATCTGAAATATTAATGTCCCTGATTATTTATTGGTTGTGTGTGAAGATGAGGTCAACAGTATTTTCATTCACAGTTGGCTATGTAATCTGCTTGTTGAGCAAAAATTTGTCACAAACTAAGCAGTTCTCTGACCTGTGGTTGGTTATTTCCAGGTTGATTTCCTGATATAACATTTTTATTTGTTAGTCTCCATCTCTTCTGCATCTGGTACTGTTTAGTATTAAGTGCAGGTATTAATGTGATAAACAAGGTGAGAGAGTGGTTGATAAGGACTATGAAGGCCACTACTAGCATGGCTCTTGCAAGCCACTGGTCTGTCTTCACAGTGTTTGCAGACAAGGAGTCACAATAACGTGACTGAAATATGTTGACCAAACCACACACTAGAAAGTGAAGGGACGACGATGTTTCGGTCCGTCCTGGACCATTCTCAAGTGCAAAATCGAATTGAGAATGGTCCAGGATGGACCGAAAAATTGTCGTCGTCCCTTCATGTTCTAGTGTGTGTGGTTTGCTCGCAGTGTTTACTCCACCGTCCCTCTGCTCCATATATTCTCAATAAGGACACTTTGTTCTGTTCTTATTTTTGCCAAGGAAATGTAAATTGAGGAGGTTTAAATTGGTAACCTCATATTGAGAATTAAGTTAATATTTAGGTTGCGTTTCCTAGTAAGTATTGTTTGAGTAGTGCCAAGTGAATGTTCTTATGAATGTTTTAACATTTGGTTATTTCAGTTATGCAAAGTAGCTACAAAATGCATGTATCCTCTGTAATGAAATGTTGATAACTGCATGCTTAATATAAATATTTTATGAGAGCAACTCTGTCTAAATAACACTTCATATTGACCTGAAGTAGATGCTGTATATACATTCTTCAATAGAAGTTGCACTGCTATTTCCAGTAAGTTTCACTGTATCTATAGTTTTCCATTTGTCTATTCTTCTTCTTTTCAGTGTTCAGTTAGTTAAAGTGTCTTAACACTTTCGCGCTTTAGATTAGAGATAACTCGTCGCCGTTTTCTCTTACGATTCCGCATAACAGCCGAGTTTTCTCGTCCATCGAAAAAATATTTCTATAAATTCCATTTTTTAACCGAAATGGATGGGGATACTTTTGTTTTGTAGGGAATTTATTTGCGAATGTTTTGGTACCAGAATGAATATTATATCACATAAACTTCTATGAGTAAAAAAAAAAATACACAAAGTATGTTTGGGGGTGTGGCGAGCGTGTGGCAGTGGGTTCCCTTTAGCCGTTGATATATCCAACACGTGGGAAATATTTGTGTGTGTTATGTATATGTCTGTGTAGGGAATTTTACTGCGATCACTGTCATACAAATTATAAAATGTTTCAACAAGTATAAACATGACAAACATCAAACGAACGAAAACAATGCGTTCGTTTCTGCCGCGAACGCATACTGAGCGACGTGGTTCTATATTTGGCGCTTCTCTTACACATGCTTTGTACAAATGTTATACAGTTCATCTTATAGAAAATTTTATTGCGAACACATTGGTATAAAAAAGAAATACTTACATAGAAAAGTAGGGTCAGGAAACGTATAAACTTTCCAAGCATGATTTCCCCCGTGTTTACGCCAGTGCGCTCACGGCTAACTACTCTCCACTTCACACACTCTTGCGGGTGGGCAATTACCTATATTAAACATTCATATGCATATGTCCGTGTAGAGAATTTTATTGCGATTCCAATGATACCAAAATTAGCGATGTAGGACAACTGTAGGCTTCGCAACCATTAAGAGAGTGGAAACATTTTGTTGCTGTTTGGCGCTCTCGGCGAGTGATCTGCATAGTTTTTTATTTGGTGTTGATACTCCTTATGCTTGGGCGGCATTTTATAGGTATGCTCTTATAGACAATTTCATTGCGAACACAGTGATACCAAATTTAAATACGTGCGCCTTCAATTATTGTCAGGACAGTCAAAAGAGTGTACACTTTTCGGTCTTACCGCGTAGGCGCGCGAAGTGCCGAAAGCATCTGGGGTATTGTTTTTTTTTGAGTGCCGAGAGCGCGAAAGTGTTAACATTCTCATTCTCTCCATTTTATTGGAAGGTCTAATTTATTATAAATTATTATAATTATTATTATTATAATTGTTTAATTATTATAATAATTATTATAATTATTATAGTATTTATTATTATTATTATCATTATAATTGATTACATTATTTAGAAACCTTTGCATTACCTTTTTACCATTATTATACTTATAGAAATAGCATAAATGCTATTGTATATTTGTAAATAACTTTCATTATTTACACGTGTAAGTTATTTTTCATTATTTTTATATTTTTGAAATTGTTATATATCTCTAGCACTATGTATAGATGGAGCACGTGAAGTATCATAAGAGGAGTGAAGGATCTTTAGTCTGCCCTTCTATTAATGCACTGCTTTGTACATATTTGTCTCCTGTACTTCAGCTGGAATCTGGTTCTCTTGTAAATTATGGAAGCTTATGACGCCGTTGAATTTGTTTTCAGGTGTTGTGTGCGCGTACAGCAATGAGGCATCACTGGAGTACGTAAGAGAGTCGTTAGAAAAGTCATTACTGACTCAACTAGAAAGGGAGGAGTCAACTCCGACGCCTCCCATCACCGTCCTATTCGCTCCCGATCCTGACCTCGACCACAATGCCTCGCAGCACCTGCACGATGAAGGGGCAAACTTAGCCGATAGGTACGGAAGCATAAATTTAGTTGAAGATTGTAATATGGATATGTCTAGCTAAACTGTTTTTGCTGTCTAGCACTGTTGCTATTTTTGT